TTAATCAAAATTTCGATTTTGATTTTAGCTACCATTAATCGAGATAAACGATTATTAACTTAGCAGCGCGAAAGACCGCATGCTTATGCATATGTGTGCGGCGTGCACACACATAAGCATACGGTCATTTATGTGTGTGTGCGAACACACATAAGCACGCGGTCAGCATTCGGTCTCATTCGCACACTGAGACGAGCAGAGTGCACACATCTAAAGTCATCTTAATGTGAGCGCTTTAATGGTCAAATAGGTGTCAAAACGCGGTGTTTAGTGATTATTTATATTAACCCTTATTTGTGTCCTGAACATACGAGGCAAGAATCAAAAGACGTGAAAGAGAAACCATTAAAGTGAAAGCGCACGATGTTCCTGCTGCCGCCTGTTTTTATGATTATTAATCTAAAAACAAAACGAGAAAATCCCTCAGTGCTCTTGACTGAAGGACTCAAAATTTTTAAACCTGCTTTTATTCTAGCTGAAATAAAACAAATCAGCCTTTTCTCCAGAAGAAAACATAGAGGAAATACTGTTAAAATTCCTTGCTCTGTAAACAAAATGTGGGAAATATTTATTTAAAAAAAAATTCTCAGGAGCGCTAATAATTTTGACTTCAACTAATAATAGTTTTGAATAATCGTGATTACAATTATGACCAAAATAATCGTGATAATGATTCAGGGCTCAACAATAAGGACTGCCCGGTGGCCCGGGGCCAGCGTGAAAGACACTCGGGACAGTAGACAGGATTGTTACTGGCCCCTATCGGCCAGTAACATTGAGCACGTTTTTTTTTTTTTTTTTTTTGTAACCTGGTAACAACCAGTACAGCGAAAAGATGGCAACATGGCGGCAAAATTAAACAATGAGGCTAAAAGAAAACGTCTGTTTCTAAAGTCTTAGAAGCAGACAATTACATGGGAACAAAATTAAGAAACTGAAAAAAAAAAAAAAAAAAAAAACAGTTGTCAGTTTGGCAAGCCATTTTTTATAAAATTATTTAGAATTGCATTAAAATACAAGCACATTTTTCATACCGCTATTTCATTTGCATAAAATCTTTTATTTTGTTCATTATACATTTATTAACATATTTAAAATGTTTAAATTCTAGATTCACAGGCATAATTTTGCCATTATTTAGAATATGTGGCTAAGAAATAGCTATTCACTTTTTAGTTTTTTCTTTTTTTAGTGGTGCCAGTGAAAATTTTGGCAGGGCAAGTAAAAATCTCAACCAATGGCCCGATCGGACCCGTATAAAAAATCCTTAGCGTTGAACCCTGATGATTTTTCCCAAAATCGAGCAGCCTTATTATATGATGTGATATATTTGGGTTGGGATATATTCTGCCCACATTCCTCAATCAAGTTTGGTGTTTGGCCCTTAAAAAGAAAAGGTTTGGGCACCCCTAGTATAGACACATGTTATTACCATTAAATAATAATGAAAAAAAGGTTATTGTGACAGAATTGCATGATACAGACTCACAATAAGCTTTTTTTTTATTATTATTCTATGGCTAAAATGGGCTTCCAGAAATGCTTGGGTCAATTCAATTCATCTTTATTTCTAAAGCGCTTTTACAATGTAGATTGTCTCAAAGCAGCTTAACATAGAAGTTCTAGTCAATTAAAACTGTCAGTCCAGTTTTCAGAATTGAAGTTCAGTTCAGTGTGGTTTAATTTTCACTACTGAAAGTCCAAACACTGAAGAGTAATTGGTGAAGGAATGAAAAAAAAAATCCTTTTAGTAATAAGGATGAAAAAAAAAACGTTTTGCAGTAATGCATAGAGGCATTCTCAATGACAAAAATAGCACAAACACATTAAGAAGATACAATATATATTAAGACATTACATAATAAATGTAATCCCTAGTAATTGTCAATGACTGGAGCACTGCCGAGTATATTATTTAGCATGACTAATTCTTCAAATTGCTAGAGAAACTCTGACTGCTTTAACAGCTGGGCCGACAAACCAACAGCATGGGGTTTGTTTTCGTTTGTGGTCAGAGGTCTTTGCACAGAATAACTACAATTAAAAGAGTGACGTGCCTTCAGACACTTGTGAACCAGACAGAGCTCGTGTCTCAGAGCAGCGTCTAAAATTAGCAAAGACATTACAGACGAACAGAAAACCATTACCGAAGACAAACGCGAGAGACATCATCTGGTAAAGAGTTACTACTCGGTTGTCAGAACCGGACTGGATAAAAGGGAAACCACAACACCTGAAAATAACTTTGTTCCGCCACAGAACTGCAATTATCATGGCCTGAGAGACGGACAGCAAGTTTTTGTGAAGCTGAGCGAAATTTCTGTTCCTGTGAGAAAGCGCGCCAGAATCAACAGACGCGCGGCCAGAAAGTGGAGAGCGACGGAAATAAAATCATATTGTCCGTACTTAACACGGAAGATACGGCTGAACATAAGCACTGTTTTACTTACCTTCGAGTTTCCTTTGCGGTGAGGCTCAATTGTGAACTGGGAGAACGCCAGTCATGAGTAGAGGAGATGCCTTTGTAACTGAAAATGGCGCGCTATAAACGAAGTGTGTGTTTTTAACATTTAGCGTGCACGAGCGTTTGTTAAATGTATTGGTGAACTTTCAATTTGCTTAGTTAACCTCTGCAAAACAATTCACTATACTGCTTGATATTGCAAACTGCCATTCAATATCATTTTAGTTGTCAATAATCATAATATTCATAAACATTTATTACAGATTCTCATCAAATAGATGTTCCCACTCGACTGCTATTGAGAACCAAATATGTTCTGCGAACATTCTCTCTACAGTCGAATAAAAAATAACTCATTGAATGAACTCAGGCAGGATTTCCATCCAATAAATTTGTTAAGCACCAGCTAAAGAAAAACTATATTTACACAATTAAATACAACTGAGTTGGTCTAACAGAGTTTTATTAAAAGTTTAAATACATTTGTATAAATGAACTAAAAGAGCCATTTTTAAGCATATTTCATCACTTACATATATTAGGAAGCATATAGGTCATTTTTTTCTCGATGAGCAAAAACTACCCAGATTAACCTTCCCAGAATGTAGCAGGGTGCTTTTTGGTAACAGCTTGATAAAAGAGGACATTCTGGAAAGGTTCTAATACCCTAGAGCCGAGGTGTCCAAACGTAGTCCTGGAGGGCCGGTGTCCTGTAGATTTTAGCTCCATCTTGCCTCAACACACCTGCAGGGATGTTTCTAGAAAGCCTAGTAAGAGCTTCATTAGGTAGCCCAGGTGTGTCTGATTGGGGTTGGAACTAAACTTTGCAGGACACCGGCCCTCCAGGATCGAGTTTGGACACCCCTGCCCTGGAGTAAACTATACCCGCTTTTACACTATTGAGCCGAAAAGTATGAACAGACAGCCAGATACGGATCCAGTTGTATTTTCACATGAGCCTGGTATTGCAACTACTCTTTTATCTGGCTACCAGTTACTCTATAGTTGTTTATATGGAAGCATGATTTTTCCATTTTCTGTTATTTAACAAGGTAAATATCAGATAAGAGTCCTAAAAATAGAAATATCTAATCATCAATCATATTTATGTTTACAATACACAGTGCAGTGGCTGACATATTATTGAATGTCAGTTTCTTTATCAGCACCACCATGGAAAATGAAGCCGTATCCGTGCTGACGGGCCCGTTTTGCCATGGAATGGAACAGTTAAGCAAAGAGCCTGATATTGTATAGATGTAAAGAAAAGTTTCATGGCTATCCGACAGAGAACATTTTGGAAACCAAGAATTGATAGTTGGGTTACTGCTCTTTATTTAGTTACAAACTTTCATTATATATAACATATATTAGAAAACTGCAAACCAAAATAATTTATTTTAAAGATTTTTTTTGGCCTTTTTGTCTGTATTAGATAGGACAGTATTTAGACAGGAAGCGAAGTTGGAGAAAGATAGAAGGTGTAGCGTAGGGAAATGTCCTCAAGCCGGGACTCGAACTTGGGTTGCCCTGACATGCTACTGCACCATATGTCGGCGCACTAACCACTAGGCTATTGCGCCAACTAAATTAAAACTAATAAAGTAGAAATACACAAAGTGCTAAACAAATCATTTGGGCTCACTTTACCGCTCTATTTTGGCACCAATTCAAATGTGCAGGCTTTGTGTATATTTTGTGGAAATACGATACAACAAAGGGAATTTATTTCAGAAAGCATGGTAAAACTAAACATTATGCATTATACATTTTAAACAGCAGTATATTATATTTAATCAGCCAAGTTTCACCATAGCTAAGTTTCAAAATGTGAAATATATATTTTTATTATTTTTGTCTCTTTTTCTTTTCAATAAACAATTGTATTTGTATTGCTTAAAGATGATATTTTACCTGAACTTGTGTCATGTTTTGCATATTAATGAAGCATTTTTGCAGAAGTAGATGAAGCTGATTGTCTAAAATTAACTTGAGCTCTGTAGTGAAACTTACTGTGAGCACAGAATATTTACAGTTGAGAAAGTCTTATGCGTTTAATATTGTGCAGAGAGTTCGTAGAAAAATAAGACGTATGTATGGGTGCGGCCAAAGGAGGACTGACCAGGAGTGACCAATTCCACTAAACTCCACCTGTTAATATAAGCTATATATAAGAGGGAATCAGGAAATGAAATTGGTTGCACACCCCTGAATGTAACTCTTGCATTGCAATGATGATTACAGAATTCTGTGAATCAACTTATTCATTTGTATCCAATAAATTACTACGATTTTTGATACTGAAAACCTATCCTGACCTTTTTTATTGAACATGCATTGAATTGACTAAACATTCCAACAAATACAAAGTACATTTGAATTTTTGGCTTTTGTAAATAATGTAAAGAAACAGGGACGAGTTTAGATACTACTTACCATTAATTTGTCACAGAAAATGAAAAGTCAGGTTGACAATATAGTACATCAGAGATTATACATTGGCACATCACAACAATGAATAGGAGTCAAACAGAAGTCAGTTTTTTCACATATTTTATTACTAAAATGTCTCTAAAGGCAGCAGTTTTAAGTGTTCACAAGTATTTCTATCATTTAAAACTTCGGTACAGTGAGTACAGTGCTGTGGTAGAAAAAAAAATCACACTGGCCTTGTGTTCTACAAACTTAAGACACGAAATATCAGAAACATTAACACTTGAGGTCCCCTTACAGTATGCTGGTATTCAAAAAGTGGCTAGTGTAACTAGAAACAGAAAAATCATATATATATTTTTGACATATCTGAAATAATTTGACAATTTCTCCAATGGATGACGTCGTACATTCAAAAACTGCAAGACGATACAGTCACAATGAATGGCGGGCAATTTAAAGCAACCTGATGGATTTTTGTTTCACTTTTGTACAAGAAATCAAAGAGGACAATTGATTTAGAGGTAAAGTGCGCTGTAGCTAAAGAAGTTAAACTAACAGCATTTAGTCATTGACTTCATTAATATTTCCTCAACATCATTCGACATTCATGCTTCATTGATGGCCAAAAAACAATCTGCTACAAATTGAAAACTTGCACCACAGAAAAGCCTTTAGAAACCCAAAATCTAGGATGAATAACATTAAAAACACTTTCTTACATCATGGTGAAATGTTATCTGAAAGCAATGCATTGTGGGTCTCATTGAAACTAAAATATTAAAAAATGAATGACACATGACAATGAAATAAAATTATACCCCGATCGAGTGCCACAACCATCTGTGATGGCCACAATCACATAATATCTACATCTCATATCTATGTTAAAAGGAAATTATGTACAACATATATATACAAATCACGCGGTCGCAGGAAACGAACGTCAGAGACTTCAGGGTTAGATTTAGAAACGATCCTCAGTCTTTGGTGGCTTTACTCTGAAATTTACAGTAAGTGTTACATCATGAAGCTGTTTCTGTGGTTGGCTCGAGAACAGAGGACATACTTGACAACTTCAGGGACTTAAATTAGACGTGGAATGAAATAAATGTGGGTCATAAGAAAAGAGGCAATGCCAATGAGTAAATCTGTTAAGAGCAAACAAGGTTAAAAGACAGATTTCCTTCTTGACTGTGGAAATATTTAAGACTTGGGTGGGGGAGGAAAGCTTCAAAAAAAATGTATAAAACAATATTTAACGTCGAAAAAGACAAACTACTCCGGTTTGGCACGAATTTGAAACCCCCACTATTTAGGACTGTTCAAATTTTCATTACCGCAATGGCTAAAATAAATTAATAAAATGTAACTGTCATTACTGTAATTGTGTAGAGAGATGTTTTTTGTTCGGTTTGTTAATAATAAAAAATGGTCTTAATTTAGAACAGAAAATAAAATCTATTTAGGACTACTTGCATTTTATTACCACAATGCAAAAAAAAAAAAAATATATATATATATATATATATATATATATATATATATCCAACAAAATGTCATTCCTGTCATTTTTTTTTGTCCAATTACAGTAAAGTAAATATTTTCATTATGTACAGCAATGGTCCCCAACCCCCGGGCCGCGCACCGGTATCGGTTCGTAGATCAGTTGATACTGGGCCAAGAAATGATGAATAGTTTCTGTTTTATTTATTATCCGAGTCTTAACGATCTTTTATTTTGAAAACTATTTTATTTTGAAAAATGACTGTTTTCTCTCAGTTACATCTCGGTTACTTGAGCACTAAAAGTTAACCCACAAATTAGCAAAATAAGTAAGAAGGACCTCAAACTGCCAAAGAATGTATCCGCAACCCATTTGTCTAGAAATCAGGTAAATCCAGCATGTCTGTGCAAGATCGATTCCTGTAGACTGTAAATGACGGCGACCTTGTTCACACGTCGCATCTTTTCCTTGCACAAGTTCGTTTCTTCCAATAGAGGCGTGCTGCATGCGCAAGCATATTGGAAGCAACGTGCTCTTGTTTTCCAGGTGCACCCAGTTGAAAACATCTCAGCTTTTCAGAATGCCACGAATGCACCACGAGTCATGTGACAAAAACTGACCAATCAGCTTTATACTTTTTATACATTTCGGTAGACTAATTACCTCAGACAAACACAGAACACCCAAACACTGCAGTGCTTTTTAATGTTCTCCATAAATAAAACTTGTATCAGAGCTGCAGCAATGTTTTGTTATCATCATCTAGGAAAACTGTTGATGTTCACCTAGCAACCCCCTCCACCCCCTCATCTCCTAAATGCCAAAATTGTCAAGTGTTGACCAGTCCACGGTGATAAAAAGGTTGGGGACCACTGATGTACAGTATACTGAAGCTGTATTCACACCAGACGCTGATGAAGTGTCAAGCGCATTTACATGTGAAGTCAATGCAAAGACGCGAATAGACATCCTGCTCTGCATTTCATGCAGATGAGGTAGCGCGAATGTGACAATTCACTCAAATTAAGCGGAGCGAGTTGAGCATTTTGCGTGTTTGACACGCTTAACGCACGTATTGCTTGAGTTGGAAAATCTGAACTTCAGCGGAAATTCATGCCACGTTAACCAATCAGGAGCTTTCTTTTGTAGCGGCGTGATTATCATGAAGCGCCTGTTGTTGAATAACACAGCTATTCTCTCAATAAAATGCATGTTAGCCATTTAGCAACGAAGCTAGTCACAGGACAGACAGAAGTCTTGCCCATGACACAAATGCGCGTCTATTGTAAAGCGAATTTGCTGCGTGAATAAATTGAATTTGACGCGCGAAAGAAATGAGTAAACTCAAAAAAGAATGGACTAGCGCAATTTATTTGCATAACAGACGTTGTGTCTGGTGTTAACATAGCATAACAATTGTAATTTTTTCAATATTTGACAAGCTACTTTATACCACAGTAATGAAAATGTTATTGCATTGCGGTAATGATCAATTAGGATTTTAACCAAATCATGTCTTAAATTGACTTTTTGATGATTTTAATGATGAAAACAGGATTGATTTATTATATAAAATATTTGCATGCTTCGTCTTGTTTTAGTTTGAGTGTTATCTCAAAATATCAAGATCATTTGCTCTCTTCATTTTGAAGACACAAAAAAAAGAAAAAGAAAAAAAAAGCATTTTCTTCAGATTTTCTGGTAATAATTGGGAAGAAATCTTTAAAAAGACAAAACCCCATGGATAAAATGACCACTGAAATGAAGGCTTTTCTTCAATGAAACAATCTAGGTTAAAATCCAGCACATTTGTCTACAGTGTACGGTCCAAAACAAAAAACAATATCCTGGACTCAATAAGAACGGTTGCCGAAATGTCAAACCTTTTAATCCATTTGTCCTTATCCATATGCAATAATGCTCCAGATTGACCACAACGTACTACAACCAAATCTGAACAGACCAAAGAGAAAACTGTCATCCAAAAACACTGGAACATTAGCTCTGTGCAAAATTGCGACCCAAAAAAACACGCCAATTTATCCTTCACATGCTACAGTTTTCTTCACGCTAGTTAACTTCAATCATGAAAAGTCTTTGGGTTTTCTGGACATTTTTTTTTCCTTCACAAACTCCGGCTCCATTAGTAGTTTAAGACAGCTTCAAAATGTCAACATATACACCATGCGGTGTTCAGAAAAAGATAACGTCCTCCTTAGCGGCTTCATCGCTAACAGTGTACGGTAGGGTTTGCTGGGAGGTCTGGTTGTGGGTTTTGGGAAGGGCTGGCGCGAGGCTAGACTGGGCATCAGAATAAGCGTCTGGAGGGCTGAGGGAATCTGTAGGGCGAGCAAACCAAACAACATGCCTGTCAGCCGGGCCTAATGACTGTTTACAGAGCGGGACGCAGCCCGTTCAGCCTCAGCTGGGGAATGTCGGGTGCGGTTTGTTCGTCTTACCTGAGTGCGAATGCTGAGGTTGGTGAGGGCTGATGGGTCGGCGGGTTTTGTGACCTCCGTCTGAATCCCTTGCTGACAGCTTGATGGGCAGCATCTGCTTCATGTCCACAGACGCTACAAAAGAGGTGAAGATGGATTTAGAAATCAGCAAATTCAGCTCATAAAAATGTTGATAGGTGGTTGTGGAATGACCAGTGTGGTAATGAGGGAAAAAAAAATAAGACCACACAAAACTTAAATGGAAAAAATAGTTTGATGCCATATTTAACTGCTGTGTCAGCCTGAAAATAAAGTTGAATTTGAACAAAAGATTAGTAAGACTTGATTTTGGTCTTTTAAGAACTAAATTGATGGTTGTGCTTTGCTATTGATTGATCTCTAGTGATTGAAGGGTTCATCTGTTTAGATGACACAGCTTAAAAACAGCAAATACTACCGTCATTTTCATTCTTTGATATTCTTATTTATAATACTTGTATTTTGTGTTTCTTTTATTCTTGTTGCTTCACCATGATGTATATCTAAATCTGTATTGTGTTATAAATGTATTCAGATCATTTTCAATAGTTTATATATTTTATTGACTACTCTTTGCATCACAATAATGAGAATAAGAGGGTCTGAACAACATTAGACTTCACTTTCAAACATCAAAAAAACTGCAATGAAACTAATAAACAACACGATACGAAACAATTTAAACTAATACATTGACTGAAAAATAGTATAAAGTAGCATAAGCTAAATGAATCCTGCCCTTCTCCATACTTGAAAAAAGATTTTTGCTGGTTGTTCAAACTACTTACAATGAGGAAAATAAGTATTAAACACGTCATAATTTTTCTCAGAAAACATGTGCTAAAGGTGCTGTTGACTTTTACCTGGGTGTTGGTAATACCCAAAGAAATCCACATATGCAAAGAAAACAAATCTAATTAGTTTATTAATGAAGTTTTGTGTAATAAAATGAAATGCTGGGAGGTGTAGAAAGGCAGTGAAAGCCCAGACAGCAGCTGAAATCTCTCCGTAGTTATTCGTCAGTGTAAATCTATATTAGCTGCTTCATTCCAACATCTACATTAGCAAGACGATGAAAATGAAACGAGAGTGGACATTTTAGCAAGACAATGATCCAAAACACAGCAAAGTAAACTCTAAAATGCTTACAGACAAAGAAAAAACAATCCATAGAATGGCCCAGCCAATAACCTGACCTGAATCCAATATGAATACACAATAAAGATCAGTTTGGATAGATAAAACCCACAAAACCATCAAGATTTTTAAAATCACACCTGAGCAATGCATGTGACTTCATTCTCCACATGAGAGTCATCTTTAAACTTCGATCACCAAAAAAAGCCTTTTATATAAAGCAATAAATACGTTTTAGTAGTTCAGGACTTTCTCCTCGTGACATTTCATTGTTATTACATATTTTTATTGTGTCTTATTCATTGTTTTGTTTTATTTTTATGTTTGTATTGTTTGGGTTTTTACCAATATCTGGTTCAATTCCATGTCAACAGCTCCTTAAGAAATAGTAAACCCAGAAAAAAACAACATGTTCAATACTTATTTCCACCACTGTATTTAAAATGAGCTGAATCAACACAAAAGTTGGGTTTTAAGGGCGTTAAACTTAATTGTTTTATGTTCAATCCACTTAAATTAGCAAGTAAAGTAAACTGACTCAATTTGTTGTGGAATAACATGAAGGAACTGTCTGAAACCCAGCATTTTAACAGTGCACTCCACATTAGTCATCAGTAATGTTTACTTTTTTGTTTAAATTTTCCACATGATTTTGTGGGGTGACTTTTCATGAGATCTGATTATGTGTGCTTACTTGGCTAACATTGTTTTACTGTAAAAGAGCATAAATTATGCACAGTGATACAATAACACTATGGTGCGATATTAAGCCAGTATGTACTATACCATGGTAATTGTAAATCATTGAAACATATTCAAATAATTTCAATGCAATTTAAAAATTGATGAGAATGAGAATAAGATTTCTCCATTATGGTATTTTGCATTAAAATGTCCTGTAAAACCATCAATACGGCAAAATGAACTCCCTAAGACTATCATTAGGAAGTCTCGAATAAATCAAAATTGTGCTCACCCAAACTGTCGGTACGGTGGGAACTCTTCCCCTTTCCACTCTTCTCCTTGCCCTTGCTGAGGGCGGCGAGTTTGGTGGGGATCTGCTGCTGGACGCTGCCCTGCTTGTGCAGCTGGTTGGTGGTGCTAATGAGATGGATGGGAACCTCGGTCTTGGCAGGCAGGGTGTTGCAGGAGCTCTCTCTGCGCGAGTGGACTTCGGGACGTTCCGGATAGTCTGCGGGGGATGCAGAGAGGCTGGCCCGCAGGAGAGACTTCTGAGGGTGCGTCTGCTCTCCTGCTCCACCCAGCAGAAACTCACCGTTGAAGCTGGAGGAAGTGGAAAGCTGAAACGTAATGCAAAATGCGAAGGTTAGAACCAAGTAGGGCTGCACAATATTGGAAAAATCTGATAATGCCATATTTGACTTTTCTGTGATTAATACTGCGACATATACAAATGGATTTAATAGCTTTATTTGACAGTTTTCTGATTTCTAAGTTATAATGTAATAAATTGAATATAGTTATAACAATGTTCAGGTAGAGAAATTGCAAAAAATATTATTTTTCTTACTTTGTCTCGTTTCTTGTCCAAATATCTGAAAAAATATTGTAGGTCAAGTAAAAACATTGTTTTGTTTAAAAAAAAAATATTCAAATTAGGAGTTTTTCCTTAAAACAAGCTAGATTATGTACCAATGTGGTAATTAATTAAAATTATCTTATTTTCGCTTTAAAATGTAGATTTTTGGACTAGAAACCAGACAAATATTATGTAAAAAAAAAAAACATTTTTCCCATAAATCGTATAAATAATTAAATACATTTTTATATTTTTTACACTTTAAAACATCATACTTTCTTGAAATGCTCATTCTAAGGCATTAGATACACATGCAAACGATAAACTTTTACTCAATTATGTTTAAACTCAGCAGTGACTCTACAAATCAGATGTGTTCTGTAGCTCCTGGTCAATTATAATTCAGACTCAACATTTCATATCTTGTGATGTGACTATTGCTGATGTGCGACATATCGAAGCCAAAACTATATATTGTGCAGCCCTAGAACCAAGCATTGATATATCAAGGGGTTCATTGTAATTTTAAAGGATAGCTCAACCAAATATGAAAATTGTTATAGATTATTCAGCCTCATGTTGTTCCAATTGTACATCGTTGAAACCCATATTAAGATATTTTAAATTAAATCATAGAGCTCTCTCGTTCTCCATAGACATAAACATCTCAAACAACATCCATAGAAGTCAATGATTTTTTTCAGTAGTTCAATCAGAATATTATTAAGCTACAACAACAGCAACAAAAAAATGTCGCACAAAAAACAAAAATAATGTCTTTATTCAACAGTTTGTTCTCCTCAGTGTCAGTATAGGGTGCACGTTTACAAAATGGCACTATGCTCTTTACGCTGCAGACATATTACCTTGGATATGCCTGTGCTTTGTTTTCAATAGAGGAAGTTGCGATACTTTAGGTACTAAATAGAGCTCTCGTAAACTTCGTGAAATTATCTGCCAATAGGGTAATTAATTACAACTATCTTATTTTTGCTTTGAATCATAGATATTTGGACTAGAAACCATATAAGAATTAAGTAAAACATATTTTCTTCATGAATAATTAAATACAATTAACAATTAATAATTGTAACACCTTAAAACATCATACTTTTTGTGTCCAAACTTTCTTGAAATGCTCATTCTAAGACCTTAGAAACACATGCAAATGATTACCTTTCACTCAATTATGGTTAAACTTAGAAGTTACTCTACAAATCAGATGTGTTCTGTAGCTCCTGGTCAACTATAATTCAGACTCAACATTTTATATCATGCAATGTGACTATTGCTGATGTGCATGTTGAGATATCGATGCTGTAACGATATATTATGCAGCCCTAGAACCAAGCATTTATATATCAAAGGGTTCATTGTCATCTTAAAGAATTAGTTCAACCGAATATGAAAATTCTGTTATGGATTTCTCAGCCTCATGTTGTTCCAATTGTTCATCATTGAAACCCATTAAGATATTTTAAATCAAATCTGAGAGCTCTCTTGTTCTCCACAGACATCAAAAATATCAAAAAACATCCTTGGAACAATCCGCGACTCTTCAGTGGTTTAATCGGATTATTATCAAGCTACAAGAATACTTTTCGTGGCACATGAAACAAAAACACTGGCTTTATTTAACAGTTTCTTCTCCTCAGTGTCAGTATAGGGTGCACGTTTCTAGAATGGCACTGTGCTCTACTCTTTATGCATGTCATGCTTAGTTGTACTGCAGACATATTATCTTAGATACGCTTGTGCTTTGTTTTCAATAAAGGAAGTCGCGGACGACCATCATGAGTATAGACACTGCACAGACTATTGTGAACATGCGCAATATACTGACACTGAAACTGTAGAATAAAATGAACATGACAACGGAATCTGGTCATTATAATTCTGTAAGTCACAATTCCATCCTACAATTTTCAGAATTTAACTTATGCAATGCAATGTCTGCTGAATAAAATCTTTTTTTTTAGCTGTGCACGAAAGGATTTTTGTAGCTTGAAAATGTCATGGTCTGTTTTGACTCTTTTTTTTTTGGTATTTTTCTGGATTATGAATAAGTCGGTGCTGTCGCTTGCAAAAGAGGAAGCTCTTGAATTTCATCTAAAATATTTTAACTTGTGCTCTAGTGATGAATGAAGGTCTCAGGGGTAAGGAACAACATGTGGGTGAGTGATTGATAAAAGAATTTTAACTTTTGGGTAAACTAACCCCTATTACTTTCATTTTAAAAATTTTTTTGAACAAAATGAAGCCAAAATGAATTTCATTTCAGGAGTTCAAAATGATTTTTCAAAGCAAACCTGCTCTAAAATATCAGTGGTTGGTGATGGTGATGAGAAAACAGGTAGGTGTGGCTCTGATGCTCTGGCTTTTTTTTTTTTTTTTTTTTGGAAATCCTGTATTTCCCCTGTTCAGTTTGATAAGGAAGGTGTCCAAAAGTAAAATCAAACACTGAAGATCTGCTTCACAGCAGAATTTAAAGAGCAATTCTAACTTTTTATCACATTTAAAGTGATAGTTCATCTAAAAGTGACAATTCTGTCATCATTTATCCTCTACTTGTTGCAAACCTGTTTAAGTTTTTACTTCTGTTGAACACAAAACAATTTTAAAGAATTCTGAAAGCAGCAGCCAATGACTTTCATAGTATTTTTGTTACTACTACGGATGTCAAGAGCTGCTGATTTCCAACATTCTTCATTATATCTTCCTCCGTGTTCAACAGAGGAAGGAAATTCATAAAAAGCATCAGTAAATGGTAAGCAAATTTTCATTTTTCTGTAAACTATACGTTTTAATAATTTAAAGTTAATTTACTTAACTGGATAAAACGAGTCAGTACGTTTACTGAAATCTCCATCGCATTTTAATTAAATATGTTTAAAATCTTCATTGTGAGCGTGAGACACAGGAAATGCTGCATTACGTTCCATGGATCTCCAGTCCACAGAAGAGATTACAGGACAAAGCTAAATTCAAAACACATGCTGCTTTGCGTGCAGAATGAAGAAAAAAAAAACCTCTGATGCTCTTAACACGAGCATAAAATGTAACAAACCGAAGACGGCTCCACATGAAAGCAAGTCAGACATGAGGTAAAGATTATTAATGCACATCAGCAGCAAACAGTTAGCAAGCAGCTCCCTCCCAACCCTTTTCATCCTGAGGACATAGCGTACACTATTTGCAAGGATTGTCCATCTGGTGCAACCAACTCTTGCTCCAGGGTATTACGTAAGTCCTGGGATGAGAATATTGAAGATACTGTACGCAAGAAGTTCAAATGATTAACCTCAAAGTCACCAACACCCTTAGCTTGTGGTGAGAATTGAATAATCATGGTTCTCCGATACATTTACTTGAGGGTGTGGAGAAGATTGGCCACCATCTCCACACCTTCAAAGGTTATACCATTGAAATTTAATGCTGCCCTCCTGCATCTGTTCATTGTGACTCTGTAAGTCACTATTCCACCCTTCAATTTTCATCATTTACATTATGTAATGCAAGGTTTCACTTTTTATTAAATGTACCATGTCAGGCCATTTTATTATGGGCACATTGGGCTGATCCCATTTTTGCCTTTAGAATTGCCCTAATTATTTGTGCCTTCAAATATTGTCATGTCATTTAGACATATTGTCATGATAGCATGGAACAAGCAAATCCATTTTCATCTTGCCTAAATTCATCATCTTCTTCACTGGGAATCATTTTGTGCTTGAGCGCCTTAAGTTACTTAACATTGGAACTACCAGAAGTCTATAACTACAAGAATTACCATAGTGGTCATTCTGACCACTGCCATAAAAGACATTATAATGTCATGTCATATATACATTCAATTTAATTTCAGATATTCAATTTAAGCTTTAAAAGTCTGCTGTCATATTTTATTAAGTCATCACCCTAAAAATACAATCTTTTTGGTAATAAACCCTATAAATGTATGCACAACTTACTTTTAGTTTCACTTTCTTTTCACAAGCAGAGAAGGCTTTTTTCAAAGCATTGAAATTGCTGTTTTGAAAGACATATCTGAAGTAAACTTATGTCACTGTCAGCATAAAGTTATGTTTTTTGGTAGCAGGAAGTTGCTAGGCAACAGAGGCACGCATATTAAAAATCACCAGACACTGAAATGCATGCAGTCATTATGAATGCGATGGTAGTTCTACTAATAGTTTTTGTGTTTTGTAATTTTAATAAAATACCCATGTTGGAAAGAAATATATACACATATAAAAGTCAAGGGTATAATAAATATTTGTGTTTTATTTCAACATTTTATTGAATAGCAAAAACTAAAAATTACCACCTCTGTAGTTCAAGTTTTAAGCTGCTCTAGGTATGTTAACAAAAGTGGCTGACTCATTGGCTGACTAATTTACGCAGCATGTCAAACTAAAAAAAAAATTTACCAGAAGTGCAGTGTTAATTTTGTAATTAACACTGTTGCCTATAAATAATTGTTGACTATAGTTTGACACAAATGTGACACCTCCTCTGCGCTAGAAACTTGACTGGAAACTATGAATGCACATGCTTTGATACCCTCATCTAATGAGTGAACATTGCATTGTTCTAGACAAAAAAAGACAAGACTAAAATGTAGTCAAACAAATAAAAAATTGTTGTTGTAATCCGCTGCATTGCGCTGTTAGTTTATTAAATGAGCGAATCGGAGCACATGCATTCAGTCACATTTGTTTCTGTTGGCGCCAAGCTATTTTTGTTGATGAAATAACACCG